CCAGGCAGGCGCTTTTGCCGCTGAGCTAAATCCCTAGCCCATAAGCTTTGATTTTTGTATTTTATTGTAAAAACTCCCTCAAAGCTACAGAAAACGATAGAGTAGTGGACATCTATCTCCAGGCCCTGCCCTGCTCTGCTCCTCAGTACAATCATCCTTCACGTTTTGCCAGGTTGGTTTCCTGACTCATTTCTTTTTCCTCAGGAAATTTCAAATTACTGACTTCGACCTGGCAAACGCAAGACCATGAGTTCGATTCCTGGAACCAAAAAAAAGAGAAAAAGAGCCCCTCAAGTTAGAGACTTGGTGAAATTTTGTCCTTACACCCCTCGGGTTTTGTCTCTAAAATTTGGGGGGAGGGTTGTTTGTGTGTTTGCGGGTTTTGTTTTTTGTTTTTGAGTATGTTGTAAGTTTACTGATGTCAGGGACAAGCAGAAGGATGAAGCATGCCAAAACGAGGCTTTCTCACTCCAGCTTCCGCTTCCGGTATTTGCAGGGTCAAACATCCCGCTCCCGTGCACCTCCTGCTGGTGCGCTCTCTGACGTCATCAATCTGCGCGGCCTCCTAAATTTGAGCCTTAATAATCCCAAGGGTGCTGGTGTGGTTTTGGTTGAATGGAGACAAGAGAGGGGACTCACACAACTTCCCTGATTTAGGATTATGGAAGCATGGATAACCGTGCAGGTGGTACGGCGTTTACAGTTGAAGGAAGGGCAGGGAGAGACTTAGCTCATTTGTTTCTTGTTTCTTTTTTTCTGAGACAAGTCTGTGCAGTTCCGACTGGCCTTGAGTTCACTATGTAGCCTAGGCTGTCTTCGAACTCGCAGTCATCCTCCTGCCTCAGCCTCCCGAGTGCTGGGATTACAAGTATGCACCACCACGCCCAGCTGCTTCTTTTGTTTCTGTTTTGTTTTTTTGTTTTTTGTCCTTTTTTGAGACAGTTCAGGCTGGCCTTGAGCTCACTTTGTAGCCCAGGCTGGTCTCGAACCCGCAACGATCCTGCCTCAGCCTCTCGAGTGCTGGAATTACAGGCGTGTGCCACCATGCCCTTCTGCTCCTTTGTTTCTAACTGTACTACTCCCCGCGAGCCTGGTCCCTGAAAATCTCAGAGGGGAGTTAAGGGAGCAAGTTTCATCTTCTGTAGCTACTTCCAGCTAGGTAGGGGCGTTGGCTCCTCCTACTGTACTCAGGGACCAATGAGCCCTCCCCCTGGCTGTTCTAGGAGTCTAAGAGAGCCCAGCTGTCCTCCGGAGATGCTCCACTGACTGTGGGCGTGGAAGCAGGCTCTGATCTCGAATTCCGGTCACCACCATTCATTGGAGGGCTGTCAAACACGAAGAAACAAATTTGAGAAGGAGGTTAAGTATGTAAGATCTCAAATAACCAAGACCCCCAATTCCAGATATGTGGCCAGGAGATCCACAACTCACAGAGCTTTTCCTGGATCTCGAAGGCACGGCCTCCCAAGTTTTTGTGCCCTGTCTCTTGTTCTTTTAGACCTACAGACAAAGGAGGTACATTCTTCCTTTAGAGACGAACATAGCCCCTTTGTGTCCGCTGTTAGGAGAAATTGGCCCCTTCCGATTTTGGGGGGCCACTGCTGCTAGTGAGTCTCTCCGGTCTTGGAGGAAGGCAGCACCCCAAGCAAGTCCGTCTAGGCTCTCTGGCGCGTTCTAGGGTGGCGTAGTTTCCCCCACGAGATCGCGTGGGGTTTGAGTCTTTCCGCTGGCTTAGCTGGCTGCTTACCCTCTTCTGCTGAGGTCTCCGGATCTCTGGCTTGCTGACGCCTCCAGGGTCTGCGGAGGTCTCCCGAGGTCTGATAGCGTCCTCCAGGCTCAGCTCCCCGGATGCCGCAGCGGAGTCGGCCAGAATCAGTCCAGGTGCTTGCGCACAAGGACAGAATCGCCCGCGCACACCTCCTAGTGTGGAGTGAGTTTATTGAAGATGGTAGGGCAGCGGCAGGAACATGCAGAAGGGTGCAGCGGGCCAAAAGGGGGCTTTGTTACTCCGGTGTCCGGTATTTATAGGGTCAGACATCCACTGCTCAGAGGTGCTTCTCACTGTCTGTCCTTACTGATGTCTTGTGTTTGGTTTTTGAGACAGAGTCGCCAGGTAGTCCAGGCTGGCCTCAAACTTGTGGCGATCCTCCTGCCTCAGCCTCCCAAGTGCTAGGATTACAGGCATGTGCTACCATGCCCAGTTTTGGCTTTTTTTTAAGCTTTCATTTTCAGATACTTAGTGTCTCTTTTTTTATTAATATATGTTTGTGGCACATAATAATTATATTGATTGGGCCAGGAATATATAGCTCAGTGGCACAAGTGCCTGCCTAGCAAGCACAAGGTCCTGGGTTCAATTCCCGTACTACCCCCCCCAAACCATGTTCATCTTGGGGAATCGGTATGTACACATAGGGAATCTTGATCATTTTTAAACCCCTCTCCCCTCCCCCAAATCCCTTCACATCTCCAGAGGCGCCGTCCGCATTTCCTGCCATTTCTCTTTCATTTTGGACTTTTTAAAATTTTTGTATCAGGAACTGAACTCGCAGCCTCACACTTGCCAGGTAGGCGCTGTGCTGCTGAACTAAATTCCCGTATTTTGGTCTTTAAATTGCTTATATTTTTGGTCTCGCCTATTAGAGAAACCACACAATATTTAACCTTGTGTCTGATTTATTCCCCTTAGCGTCACGGTGTGTAGGCTCATTCATTTTCCTACAAATGACTAAAATGTGTCCTTCTTTATAGCGGAGCATCCTCCTTTGTTTACCCTCTACTTTGTATATTTGTTTGTTTGTTTTGTTTTTCTTCTGGTATCAGGAATCGAACTCACGACCTTGCGTTTGCCAGGCAGATGCTTTGCCGCTGAGCTAAATCCCCAGCCCCCTCCACTGTGTATAAACACCACATTTTTGTATTCATCTGTCGGTGGGCATTAAGGCTATTTCCACGATTTGCCTACTGTGAAAAAACGCTTTTTAAACACAACTATGATTTTCCCCCAAACGTCTCTAATAACTGGTGTACGCAGTGCAAGACCACCCATGGCCTGTGGTTACTTTTCTTTTTTAATGAGCATGTGGTAATAATAATATGCATTTATGGGGTCCGTCGTGATAGTCCGCTGTGCGTAGTTACTGGTACTAATCAAATCGGGGCGACCAGCGTTCCCATCTGCTTATTGGTTCTCTATGTCTGGAGCTGCAAGCCCGCTGTCCGGTTCTCGTCCCATCTGTATAGCGGTGGAACGGGTTATCGTCGGCTCCGCCAGGCTGTGTTCTGCCTTTTTTTCAGTGCTGGGGATGGAAGCCAGGGCCTCGATAGGCAGCGCTTTAACGCCGAGCCTCACGCCGGTCCCCCAGGTCTCCTGTAGCTGGAACAGCCCTGCCTCCCTCTCCAGGCTTTTCCCATAATGCTTTTGAAGAGTCTGAGTCACTGCCCTATGTAATACTCTACTTTCAGGAAGATTATGGACAGCTGCAGCCACTGCACCATAGCAAATGAAACACACGATGATGATGAGGATGATGATGGTATTAGGGACTGGACACAGGCCTTCACACTGAGCTATGTCCCCAACCCTTTTTCTTCTGAGACAGGGTCTCCCTATGTAGTGTAGGCTGGCCTTGAATTCAGTTGTGTAGCCCAGGCTGGCCTCCAACTCACAGTGATCCTCCTGCCTCAGCCACCCAAGTGCTGGGATTACAGGAGTGCGCCACCACACCTGGCTCCCCAGTTTTGTTTTTTTTATTTGTAATTTTGAGACAGACTCTTGCTACATCACTGAGTTGCCCGGGTTGAGCTTGGACTTGTGATCCTCCCGCCTCAATCTCTCTAGCCTCCCAGAGTGCTGGGATTATAGGTATGCTGAATTAGTGCTTTGAAAAAAATAATAATTTTTTAACTAGAACAATTATATTGCACTGGGATTTTTTCTTTGTGTGTGTGTCTGTCTGTTAAAAGTTACCATTTATAACTGCATATGTTTTATGTATCACACAATTGTGGTAATGTATCACAGAGATAGAATACTTTATTTTGGGGGCAGGCATGGTGGCACACACCTATAATTCCAGTACTCAGGAGGCTGAGGCAGGAGGATTGACAACCTGGGCTACATAGTGAGCTTAAGGCCAGCCTGAGTTACAGAGCAAGACCTTGTCTCAGAAAAAAAGACAAAAAGCAAACAAACAAACAAAAAATCCCTATTTTTAATTTTTTAATAAAGAATCTGCAAACAAGGGGACCGGTGAGCTTCCCTGGGGGTCCAGCAGCCACGAATGAAATGCTCAAAAGCAGCTGTGGCTCACCTGGTCCCACGGCTCCTGTTTGTCCTGTGCGGGATCAAAGGACGAAGCAAGCATTTACTCCCGTCCCGAGACAGCCCTTGCTGTGTCCACACCGGCTGCCCCGAGCACGTGCTGAGCAGCAGGAATCCACGGCCAGCAGCGCCCCGTGTCGCCACCTGAACCTGCCCGGGGCTGTCACAGTCCCTTCCTGGACAGTAAGCGGAGCTATTCGCCTGGTGACTCAGACCTCTTCACTGCCCTTGTCCCCTCAATTTCACGCCAACCTTTCCTGCGCCGGTGGAGTTTTCCTCCTTGGACACAAAAGCTGCCCCTGGCGGGTGGTTCCGATTCTAGTCCGTCGGCTGGGAGGATTATGTGACCCGGCACCGTCCAGTCAGCCAAAGCCACGGACTATGGACCTACTGTGCGCCAGGCCTGTACAAGGAGGCGGGACGCACATTAGCTCCTCGAGGCCACTCACAGGCCGCCTTCCGTGGCTTCCTGTGTTACAGAGGCAGGGGCTCTGCAGCGCTTTCTTCTGAGACGTTCATGCAATGAACGGGTACCATGTGAGCGTACTCTGGCCAGTGAGAGACAGGCAGAAGTTCCTAGGAAGGGCAGTCATTTCTGAATTTAAACACAAAAACAGATTAAAAAAAATCAAAAGAGTTTTTATGTCTTTCTCATTTCATCCTGGAGCTCAGACTCAGTACGTGGAGGTGTTGCAGCCATTCTGTGGCCATGAGGGCAAAACCATAGGCTGAAGATGGCAGCGAGAAATGTGGGAAGCTGATCCCTAAGACATCCCTGAGCAGCAGAGCTGATGGCAGATTTCTGCTCCCAGATTTACGGTGACATACAACTTATAAACGAAGCCACAATCTTCCGTTACCTACAGCCAATCACGTTCGTGACTAACCCATTATGAAATATGAAAGCTAAACCAAATATTGGAGTGTTATCAGAGGAACATACCTCTTACCTCAAAGTGTGTCCCTGAGAGTAGTGGCGTGGAACGTGGATTCTCATGCATTTTTTTTGTACTGGGAATCGAACTCGTGACCTCAGGCTTGCCAGGCAAGCGTTTATGTTGCTGGGCTACATCCCCGGCCCCCCTCATGCATTTTAAAAAAAGAGAGAGTCATTGCCAAAGAGCTTTGGAAATTCTGTGTTAAGAAAGTCAGAGGGGCCGGGGATATAGCTCAGCAGCACAAGCACCTGCCTGCCAAGCGCAAGGTCCTGAGTTCGATACCCAGTACCAAAACAAAAAAAAAAAAAAAAAAACCATGAAAAATTAAAAAGAAAAAGAAAGTCAAACAGGTTTTCTTGTTGTGGGACTTAGCAGGGCCTTCAGGATTCTAATGGGCCTTAAGAACCTTCCTCAGGGGCTGGGGATTTAGCTCAGCGGCACAGCACCTGCCTGGCAAGCGCAAGGTCATGAGTTTGATTCCCCTACCAGAAAAAAAAAATTCAACCACAAGAACCTTCCTAAGGAAAGTGTGCCCTAAACTGTTCATTCCTAGAACCCCTCTTCCTGAGGAGCATTCCGGGGTAAGCGTCTCCCACATTCAGGAGGTGTGAACTCCGCGATGAGCGGCAGGGGGAGGCACAAGGTCTCAGCGGGGGAGTGCTCACCGGGCCAGGTCTGCACCATGTCGCTGCTCTGTTCTCACAGCACAGCCTCAAGCTCTATGGCCAGGGCTCCCGCCTTGGGGGCCCCCGGCCGAAAGGGTGAAGCCACCCGGGAGAGAGGCAAGAGCGCAGGGAGAGTGACCGGGCATCTCAGGCATCCTGGTCCCGCACCACCCCAGGTCTGCTCCTTCCCACGCCGGGCTGGGGCCCAGCTCCCCAGGGGTAGAGCAGCCCCAGCTGGGGGAGGCAGAGGGGACGCAGGGGACGCCTGCCTCACGCCAGCAGGGTGGCCATGGTCTCCTCGGGCGCTCAGCCCCAACTGTGCCGCTCAGGGCAGGCAGGACAGAGCCGGGCAGGCAGCCACGGGCTCCGCTTGGGCTTCCCTGCAGCCGAAGGCGCGAGGGGAAGGTGACAGACAGACAGACAGACAGGCTGGAGCGAAGACCAGCGGGAAGCGCTGGGCCCCCAGCAGGCTGTGGGTCTCCCCAGCCCCGGCTTCCCCGCCCCTTCCTGCCTACCCATGGCACGTGGGGACACCAGAGCTCCCTGCAGAGACTCCCAGGAGTGACACACACACACCCCTCTGCACACACACTCTGCACACCTACCTCTGCAACACATACCGCTTTATACACACCTCCATACACACCTCCACACACATATCTCCACACACACCTCTACGCAACCCTACACACACACCTTCACACACCTCTAAACACCTCTACGCAACTTCACATATGCACACACGTCCACACACCTTTACATGCACATCACCACACACCCCTCTACACACACACACACCACACACACACCTCCACACACCTCTGTACACCTCCTCACACACACCTCTGCACACATCCCCCTCTACACCCACACACCCTCACACACCTTCACACACACTATTATACATGCCCTGTGACAGT